CGAACGCACACGCACTAGGCCAATGACCAGCAGAACCACACCTCCAACAAGAGTTTCTAGAATTTTGATTTTCACTACTCCTATGCATGAAAGTTTTAGGCCTATTTTGACTTTTCACATTGATTTTCGCAATGTCCCCACGAGGTTGCACAAATAGGCTTGACTGCGATTCGGCCTGTTCCAGCCTGAGCGCTGACGCATAAGCTTCGTCAAAGTCCAATTCCTCCGACAACAATTTCTGCCGGATAGTTTCATTAGAAATGCCGGAAATCACTTTGTCCCTCAAAGCGTCTTTCAAAAAGGTACCAAATTTGCACGAACTAGCCAAATGTTTTATTGAAACCACAAACTCCGCTATGCTTTCGCCCGGCTTTTGCACACGAGAGTAGAATACATATCGCTCCGCCACAACCAACTTCTTGGGCGCATAATGTAATTTCAACAACGCTGCAAGTTCATCATAGGTCTTAGAATCTACCTCTACCGGTGATAATAAATCGGATAGGACCGATAAAACCCTGGGACCAATAACTGTAATTAAAACCGACACCTCGTTTTCCTTCTTGACATTGTTCGCTTTGAAAAAATGTTTCAGGCGCAACAAATAGGGCACAATGTCCTCCTCACTTGGATTAAATTCAGAAATCCTGCCAACACTAATACTCGCCATTTTTAATCATCTCAACTATAATACGCACTAAAACAACAACTGTTATCGCGTACTACCCTAACTATGATAAAAAGGTTTATTACCGACTGCGCCAAAATGTCGTAACCTAACGTTACGCTAGAAAAGTGGACGATATAGCAAGAGAACCACTTACGTTCGTTGGTGGACATAGAAGAAGGAGCCGTGACGAATCATCCCACTTCAGGGCTCAGTGCACAGTGCAGCCACCCCGCAAAACATAATAACTCTTCCGTTACTCATAATTATAACTGTTCATATATGAAACTATAATGACTTCTACTACATTAAGTATTATTCAAGGAAGGTTTGTGTGAAGTTTGGTGCAGATCCGTCAATAGGGCTCCGCCCCAGAGGCTCTGGAGTTTCCAATGTTAACCTTATGAGTACTGATATTTAAATGGAATTAAAGAATCTTAACAGCTGGTGCAACTAAACAATTTGATTCTGTGATGTTCAATAGCATTAAAAAGTTAATAGGTTTACCAACAGGGTGCAGCACTATACTTATTTTTAATTTATGAGAACAGCTAATTTGCAACCAAAAGGTGAGTGAGCGTAGCGAACGAACTTCAACCTGGAGGCGAGTTAGCGTAGCGAACGAGCTAACCTGAAGGCAAGTGAGCGCAGCGAACGAGCTCCAACCTAAAGGTGAGTGAGCGTAGCGAACGAACTTCAACCAGGACGTGATTGAGCCATGCGAACGAGCTCATCTTGAAAATGAACGAGCATGTGACATAAAACCACAATAGGACAGGACGACGTCTGTCGGGCCAGCTAGTATATATATATTTGGCAGTGATAAATTCAGACACCGCTGAACCGATTGCCACGAAACTTGGTACATACGTGTAGAATTTCATGGAATAGGTTTATACAGCATCGATTTCATGATCCGTCCAATAGGCTCCGCCCCAGTGGCTCTGGAGTTTCCCATGTTAACCTTATGAGAAATGGAATTGATGAATCTTAAAAGCGGTTTCAATTAAACAAGTTGGTTCTGTTCTATGATGTTCAATAGCATTAAAGTTACAAGGATTACCAACAGGGTGCAGCACTATTATTTCTTTTACATTTATGACAACAGCTAATTTGCAACAAAAAGGTGAGTGAGCATAGCGAACGAACTTCAACCTGGAGGCGAGTTAGCGTAGTGAACGAGCTAACCTGAAGGCAAGTGAGCGTAGCGAACGAGCTAACCTGAAGGCAAGTGAGCGCAGCGAACGAGCTCCAACCTAAAGGTGAGTGAGCGTAGCGAACGAACTTCAACCAGGACGTGATTGAGCCATGCGAACGAGATCATCTTGAAAATTAAGAAGTTAAACGGGGCAAAGCCTGCGGGTTACAGCTAGTTGCATATAAATCTATAAAAAATCAGTTACATTGATCATTTATGAGTGAACTCTAGAAATAAATCAAACTCTAAGTGTGCGCAAAGCCCTGAAGGAAATTACCTCTTTAGTTACAATTCACATCTCCGCTAAGTCAATATAAGCTTTATAATTATACCTCAATCGTAAAAATCGGTTTTGTATGGCTGGGAAAGGGATGCTACAGAAAAACCCCTTATTATACTAAGTCCATCCTCATTCTTCTGGTATAGAGGCAAAAACCAAACACAAACATATTTAGTGAAGCCAAACCATAAAACATTAAAGTATATGAAAACATAACAGTGAAATAGAAAACATACTTCCCAAAAAATTGTATAAAACTGGAAAATGTACCTTTTAAAGGTCCCAAATAAAAGCCCTATGAGTTTGCGACAAATTCTGACGTCTGCTTAAGTTTTGGAAGTCGAAATTACAAAAATTTTACACTTGTTTCAGTTTTTCGCTAACAACTCCAAAACTGACGCATCCTAAATAAATCTTTGTTCAGTGTTTCTTTACAAATAGTAAATTACTAGCTGCCCTGACAGACGTCGTCCTGTCCTAATGTGGTTTTATGTCAAGATGAGTTCATTTTCAAGATGAGCTCGTTCGCATCGTTCTATCACGTCCTGGTTGAAGTTCATTTGCTACGCTTACTCACTTTTAGTTTGGAGCTCGTTCGCTGCGCTCACTTGCTTTGAGGTTTAGCTCGTTCGCTACGCTCACTTGCCTCCAGGTTGAAGTTCGTTCGCTACGCTCACTCGCCTCCAGGTTGAAGTTTGTTCGCTACGCTCACTCACCTTTTGGTTGCAAATTAGCTGTTGTCATAAATTTAAAAACATAATAGTGCTGCACCCTGTTTGTAAACCTATTAACTTTTTAATGCTATTGAACATCACAGAATCAAATTGTTTAGTTGAACCAGCTGTTAAGTTTATTTAATTCCATTTAAATATAAGTACTCATAAGGTTAACATGGCAAACTCCAGAGCCACCGGGGCGGAGCCCTTTTGACAGATCTGCACCAAACTTCACACAAACCATCCCTGAATAATGCTTAATAATGCCTGAAAGTTTCATTACAATCTGTCGATCGGTTTCGGAGTCCATACGTTCAAATATATATATAGGCTATATATATATATATACAGGGTTGGGCAAATGTGTGGATACCCCTAGTTAACTTTTTAATGGGTGACACCAGGAAAACTAAACTCCACATAACTGCATAACAAATAAAACTGCACTTTTTGGACGGTATCCCAATTTTTCCCGGGACCCCAAAATGGGGTATTTTGGGGGTAGCTCCAAAATTTTAAACGTAAAGCCCCAAATAAAAAATAAAATTTTAAAGGCCTTTATTAAAGAAGAATATCAGCGAAAACTAGAGGTTTCTATCTCAACCCAGTACGACATGGCGATTATTTTAAATTTTCATCAGCCTGAGAGAACCCACTTAAATGTAGGCATCAATATCCCATATTAACTTTTTAGCGGGTTAATCTTAATGATTGATAATTGATAATTGAATTGATACCAGGAAAACTAAACTCCGCATACCTTCATAAGAAACAAAAATGCACTTTTTGGTCGGTATCACAATTTTGCCCAGGACCCACAAACGGGGTATTTTGGGGGCAGCTCAACAATTTTAAATGTAAAGCCTCATCAAGTGACACCTCATTTTAAAGGCCTTTATTAAATAAGAATATCAGAGAAAATTAGAGGTCACTATCTCAACCCAGTACGACATGGCAGTCATTTGAAAATTCATCGTACAATTTAACCTCATTAAAAGTTTCTCTCAGGCTGATGAAAATTTAAAATGACTGCCATGTCGTACTGGGTTGAGATAGAGACCTCTAGTTTTCGCTGACATTCTTCTTTAATGAAGACCTTTAAAATGAGGTGTCACTCGAAGGGGCTTTACTTTTAAAATTGTTGAGCTGCCCCCAAAATACCCCATTTCGGGGTCCCGGGCAAAATTGTGATACCGACCAAAAAGTACATTTTTGTTTCTTATGAAGGTATGTGGAGTTTAGTTTTCCTGGTGTCGCCCATTAAAAAGTTAACTAGGGGTATCCACACATTTGCCCAACCCATTATACAAACTTCCTCTTTTATAAATATATAGAAGATATGTGTGTTGATTGGGGTTAAATATATTTGGAATCGGCTGAGCCGTTTATTATCAGTAGCTTTTCATAGTTAAAGTTATTTTAACTAACATAGCCAAAAACAATTCTTTGTTCAGTTGGTTGTGAATGTTTTGTCTAGCAATAACTTCATTGCAAACAATCTAATGTGCAAAAATCAAATGTTAAAAACATCTCACTCTGTGAGTTGCTTATTCAACTAAATTGTATTTGTGTTGAACATTTTTGCTTCAGCAGATTTTCCATTTAGATGAGATTTAATATCTTGTAGTTTCAATGTCAGTGTCAGTTAACATCTATATCATGAAGGATAAGGAAGCTGTGTTCCTAATTTAATTTTAGGCTGTGTTTCCATTTGCACCCAATTCCACAACAAATAAATAGGCCTAATAATACTTTTACAACTAACAAGTGATGTTGTCAAAAAATGTTTCAAACCTTTTGTAAAACTCTAGTTTGAACAACACATAAAAGAAGTGCTATAAACAATTGTTTCAACTTTTTGTGTAAAACAGAAATTTTGTTTATAATACCAATACCATTGACTAATACTGACAAAACTGTTAAAAAATCTGATACTTTATTTAATATTACACTTTAGCTTTTGTTTTATCACAAGAGTCGTCTAAATTTAAATGGTAACAAAATTAGTCTAGATAAACAGCCTTGTATTTCCTGGAAAGGTAAATGAATACTAAACTAAAGTTAACATGAAACAAATATATTTTAAAATAACCAATACAGAAAAAAAACAAGATTATAAAAAAATATTCAAAAGAGGAATTCTTTACTTTTAAAATGACAAAACAAAAACCAAGAAAAAATTACAAAACTTGAATTACGTCCATGGCAATGAAGAAGGTGTGGAAGGCACCCAATCCAAAGGCGGAAGGGGTGATGGAGATGGGGAAGTTGGAAAAGAAAGGGTAGGTGAAGAAGGAGAAGAAATGTGCTGTTGAGTTGAAGGAATTTGTACGATTAACCAATGTTGGGTTGAAGGAAGTTGTTGGAGTCGACGATGGTGTTGAGTAGACAGATCTTGACTTTCCCAAGGATGTTGAATTGAGACAGGTTGTCGAAGTTGTTCATGCTTTCTTGTATAAGACTGTTGAGTTGAAGGAGGTTGTCGAAGTTGTTTAGGTTGTCTCATTGACTGTTGAGTCGAAGAAGGTTGTCGTCGAAGTCGACGATAGTGTCCAGGATCTTGACTATCCCAGGGCTGTGGAGTTGAGACAGGTTGTCGAAGCTGTTCAGGCTGTCTTTTATAAGACCGTTGAGTAGAAGGAGGTTGTCTGCATCGACGATACTCTTTAGTTGAAGGAACTCGTAGACTCTCACAAGGCTCGGCAATCTTGGGTTGAGCTGCATTGCACTCTTTGCATGGACTATTTCCCATTACCTGTAGATAATAAAGAGTTGGATTACAAATGTATTCAGGGGTCAAGGTAACTAGATGTCAAATACATCCCCCTTGAGATCTGACCCTTGTCGGACTATACAATAGTCAAAAACCACACCAGAGATTGAGGGTTGAAATCCCATACTTATCAGTTATGGCATGCTACTCAAGAGCTTGGTAGGAGAAGTACTATAATCCATATTTTCTAGCCCTTGAGCTTTTTCTATAAATAATTGAAATATTACCTTCGTCAGCTAGCACGTGTATTGTTAACAATGTTACAAATAAAATTTGTGTTATAACAATGCCTTTTGGCTGAACAGTCTGATGATGGGACAGTGATGCTGAAACGGCCGTAACATTGGTAACAATAATACAGGAGCTGGCTGACTAAGGTAATATTTAAATTTAGGAGAAGTACATCTAAAATAAACCGTGAAATGCTTAGATGAAAATTTACGGAATGAATCATTGTAAAATTCCCATTTTTTTCCCATTTTTTTTTGTCAAACTGCAGTAAAAAACCCCGTTTTTGATGCATGCGTTATGGGTCTAAAGTAGCATTTTTACTCTCTAGGGAGTAAATACCCCCGCCGCAGCAAACCTGCAGACTAAGCGAATTTCCTTTTACCCGGCTGGATTTCTACTAAAATATTCCCTAAAATTGTCAGATTTATTTCCTTATTTAAATTAGTACTTAGGTTTGCTGCTACAGAAAAGGTATTGAGGTGTGATTTTTTATTGAAATGTTGATAGCTTAGTATGAAATAAACAAAATTGCCAAAAATTTATTTATTTTTTTAACAGTTTTATTTAACAGTATTTATTCTCCATAAGAATAGCATGGGAATTTAAAATTTAAAATTTTTTCGCTATCTCCGTAACCGTTGGGCAACAATACAATGCTTCAACATACAAAATTATTTATTTTTTTAAGCTCTACAAAATGGTTTGAAGAGAAATTATAAAATTTTGTGTTTTTAGGGTCAAAAATGGGAAAAATCAATTTTTACCCCATAAAATCCTGCATAAACCCCCGTTCTCATAGTCTGATTATGCTGGTTCCCGAACTCGTTCGAATAAACGTAGGTTTACATGTTTGTACCAAATTTCATCAAAATCGAATCACTTTTGCTAGAGTTATCGCGTTAACGGACACATATATATATGAATTTCAACGAATGGTGTTTTTGGCCTCTGGGGTCCTCAAAAAGAAAAAGTATATCGGTCCCAGGTCTAGGTCTTACTATGAGACCTACGGTAATAGCTTATTCCCTATATGGGAAATTCGCTAAAAGCATTTCATCCCCTAGGAAGTAAAAATCAGCTCTTGTTATAACTCAGTTGTAAATATCGATTGTAAACAATTGCATGTATCTAAAGTATATATTTAATCGATTGTAGCTTATTGTTGCCTTATTGTAAATAGTTTGACAAATCTATGGTATAAAGTACACTAACACAATAGTAATAGATGAAACAGTTGAATCACTTACCTACTTAACAGCTGCTTGTTTCCATTAGCAAATTCAATTGAAAACAAGTTAGAAGTAGTTTTGAGAGGTTATCTTGAAATGAAAACTATTTTAGTTTTGTAACATAACATAGTTTATTTAAATAATGGTGCAATATGAAGAAAAATATAAACAAAAAGTATGTCCTTTCAACCCTTGCTCATTTTCCTAGCTCAGGTTGAGAATAGTCACTTAACGCCCAAGTGATGAAATACTATTCTTCCTTCAGATCAATACAAGTGTAATTGTATTGCTATACGCTACAATACATTGTTAGATTCTTTTGGATATACAAGGCATGTGTCTCATTTTTTACCCTCAAAACACAAAATTTACCAATTTCTCTTTAGACCTTTTTAAAGAGCTTAAAAAACAAATAATTTAGTATATAAAAGTACTTTTGTACGGTTATTGGTAACGGAGAAAATTAAAAAAATTGTAAATTTAAAATTCCCATGTTATTCTTATGGAGAATATTATAAAATGTTGCAGTTTGCTTGTTTATGGATATATTTTGATCAAACTTGGCAAATTTAATTATTTTATACTAAGCTATTAATATTTTACCAAAAAACACACTTATTTAGTTTCCTTGTAGCGGCAAACCAAGGAACACGTAAAAACTAGCCTAATGTTTTTTTTTAAATATATTTAGGCCTAATTGAAAATCAATTCAGACATATGGAAATTTGCTTAGTCGGCAGGTTTGCTGCGGCGGGGGTATTTTTCCTAAGACGCTAGGCACGAGCCCGGAATTGTTTTTCACATTACTTCAGGCTAGACCTAGGGGTTTCGGCATTATCACTTAGATAAAATCCATTGGTGATTTGGCGGGATTTTAACCCGGGACCACAGGCACCGAAGTCCTGCGCTCTAACCACTAGACCAGCTCGCTCCCCATTGCTTTTGTACTGGAATGTATTATAAATTATAATTGCTTTGACTATTAATACGTAGAACTAAGACACAGAGAAAAGGCCATGAATCTATAGCTTATTTTCAACCAACAGGTTTACAAAAGAAAAAAAAACCTTTAAATTTGGGTGCTGCAACACTCTGGCTTACCGAATGCTGGGTTTTGTAACGTAAAAATATAAAATCGAACAAAAAAGTGAAAACTTGTAGGAGGTCTGGGAATTTTTTAATTTTCCATATAAATTTCCTTGAAAATTATCAAGCTGTAAAATGCATTTTGGTTTAGGTGTGATTGAAACAGTTGTCTCGAACTATTGTATTTTAAAATCTTAAATTTTATTCTTTCTCGAATGCTATATTTATTTTAACGCTGCGGAGCAGCATGGGTCCTCTAGTTGTATTTTAATATAATTACCAGTAACCTTTTAAAATCAATTTACTTTAAACTAAAGCATCCAACTTTGGCAATGCATGATAGTCATAATATGAAAAAGTTTTAGGACTGTGCATCAATATAATGTTCTCTAAAAAAACAAAGAGCTAATTTTTATAATTACAAAACTATTGTACTCACATGTTCATAGAAAAGATTTACTCCACGATTCCATGTATGTATCAAAGTGTTAAATACACCAGCCATTCTCTATAAAATGTGAGAGAGCAAACATCAACATGAGTTGTCAAGCAAAGCAGATTCCGAAGCAACATCTTCCCCTTCTCTCAGCACTGGATCATGTGTTGATTCCAAGTAAACAATCATCTAGTGTTAGCCTCTAGTACTGTGTATGTTTATTCAAAGCTCATAACATAGCTATTATTGACCATTCATCATCATCTAAAATACTAATACTATATTTTTGAATGTTCAGGATCATTTGAATTTCATAAACAATGGATATACCTCATACACTATAAATTCACATGGCTGATCATTCGGCTTGAATTATAAAATCAATACACATTCTCTATATTTTCAATTAATTTCATCACCTGAAAGTAACGCCTTGTAGGTAATATGTCGCCAAACAAAATACTTTATTTGATCACCTAAAATTTAAAGCTAAAGATTTCTTGCCTCCCCAACCAAATGTTGTTTTGGTTGTTTGTTGTGGTTCTTGTTTTTCTGTAGCAGTTTCAACAGCTAAAAGCATCTATCCACCCAATTAGAGAACAAAAATAAAAATAAGTACCACCCATAACATGATTCCATAATTTTTAAGTGATCAAAAACCCTAAGTTTTTAGTTCAAGAATGGCATTTATATATAAGGCGGTGGTGTCCTGTTTGCTGTTTTTGGTAATTCATGAAATGTTAGAGACCTCACAATGGTGTAATAAAAATGCCCAAGCATGGTGTCTCAGTCTTAAGTAACACAGTAAAATGAAGTTTTAAAAGTGTCAACCATCTAATTTTTAAAATAGTTTTGCAAATCTTTGTCAGAATTCAGGAGATAGACAGGTTTAAAATCATAAACAATTACAACACAAAATGCTTACATTTAATATCACATTAATCACGTTAGTTACAAAGTTTCCTGGTTACAAACAACAGGATAATGAAATAACAGAATTTAAATAGATCCAGCAACCAATAGGCAGCTTGGAACTAAACTTTTTAACAACAATTTTTTTTATTTTCCTGGATTCATGAAAATCTATCGTTTGTAAATTAAAACAATATTAACTGAAAACATTTTTACAAAAACCAAAATGACTTCCTTTTAAAAGTAGGTAAGGTTTATAGGTTTGGGGCAACCATTTTCATCATACACATCCACCAAACCCTTATTGTTCTCATAAAGAACATAAAACTTGGCATACACTCAAAACTTTTAGGATTGAGATGACCACTTTTTTAAACACAGTAGCTCATACATCAGTGATCACTACTGTCATTGAATATAGATACTATAGTCCAAAGCTACAATACTATGTAACATTACTTTATATAACATTGTTTAATGTTTACCCAAGCCACCAAGTATTAGTTTACCACTTGTATTGTAGAGAGTGGTGGTAAAACTAAACAAATCTTATATTCCTCTTTGTATTCAAAGTAAAGCTAAGGAGAAAAACTATCTTTATTGGATAATAATTTAAATTTAAACTGTTTCCTTATAAAAACGCTAACAAATTCCACAGGGATAGATAAACTTAATAAAATTAAATCAACCATCAATAACATTAATATCAGAAAACTATAAATGATATACTTTTCTTGTAATAATACATTGGAATATATTTATTATTACCGACTGGTATTATGAAAAATATTTCCATGTTTAAGTCCAACAATTATATACCTCTGGGAAATAGTTGATAATGAATTCAACACAAATGTTCTTAGTGTTTAAGAATTATTTGATTTTTACTCAATTTAAGATGGGAAAATATTGTTCTCACAATCAAGATTTTTTGTTAACCAAGAGGATACCCAGTTTGATCAGTGCCTTGAGTGTGTCTTCCAAGTAATGTGTTTTCTGTTTATTCTAAGTGAATAAATAATGCAGACAACATTTAACAAACAAGTTTATAAGTTAGAAGTCAAGGCTAGGATTAAAGATGAGAATTATTGAGAAATAATACATAAAATATATGCGGGCATAGGAATGTGAATAAATGTTGAGCAAAAGAAATCAATAAATATAAGTGTAAATATGACTTATTGGATACTAAGTTTAACAGATGCCACACAGTAAATTTTATAAAAATATTTTATAACCAAGTAGTGATATTTTAAAACTTAGCACATAAGAATTTGTTTAGATCATTAGATATAAACAAGTATTTTTATGTGAGGAAGAAATGTGAGTTTTTTAAAACTTGACATAACATACATAGAGTTAATGAGTGACACAGAGATTTGGATGACATAATAACAACCTCAGAAATTTGTAATTTGTTCACAATTGAATTTTAATTAACTTTTTCCTTTAGATTCTGGTCATAGTTTGAACTAGATATGCGGTCTCAGTTCTAAAGGCGAAGGATTGGCGAAGCAAACAAAGATGTGAACAAAATTATCGTCTTTCTAAAAACAATTTGTTATTAAAAAATATAATAACTTACAACATATCGGCTATAACAACTTAAGTCGTCATCTGATTAAACAAACTCCCGAAACATACATTGTTACTTACTGTAGAATGTAGATCTACAATCCTTATGGATCAAGATCAAATAAACTATTATATGTCTTCTGGTAATATGTTTAAAACATTGAGCACAAATCTTAAATCATACACTAACATTATTATAGTGAAACATTTAGTTAGTTGTTATCATCACACCCTTTATGTCGCCAAAACATCCTTCCAATTTTTACAATAGGATGACAAGTTTTATTACTTGCAATGAAATTTTTTTTGTGTGTGGAATCATTTAAAAAATTTACTTTCTGATTGTACAGTAATTTAAATAAACACACTTTACATTCTTAGAAATCCCATCCATTTCTATCTATCTATTTATCTATTTCTTCCTCATATAATCAACACATTATGACAAATAATTTTCTAGCTAACAATGACAAAACATTACGTTAAAACTAATCTAACAGTCTTTTGGTCAACACATGGTATAGGGAACATTTACTTTAGTAAAAGCATTTCAAATACCCAGATGTGTCCAAATGTGGCCACATAATAACCTAATACCATTTATGACTGAAGAACTTTGTGCTTAGGATCCAAAAAGAATTTAGTATTAGAACCACAATAGCTAGATATACAGTACAGTTTCAATTTGTCATAATACTCCAAATTAATTTTTCTAAAGGTGTTGAACAAAAAAGATAGAACAAAATATGATCAAAATAATTTTGGGTTCATAAGAAAATCCATCTTACTTCTCCATAGAAAGTTGATTTCATTGTAGACAAAAATAATAATCTCAACTAAGTAGAAAGCTACAAAAGGTACTAACTTTTTAGTATCCTATAGTAAACTATTCCAGGTACAAAACTGAGCGTTTAGACAAATATTTTGAACTCTCAAATACCCTGTTTGGTCAGTGGTGGATTCCTTATATCTCGATCGATATCGACTATCGAGTCAACCTCAATACATGGACACATCTGTGGCATTCAGTCTCTAGTGATGTGAAATGGTCAGTTCCGAAGTCTTTGATGATTGTTCAAGGTTATCAATTGTCAGTAGAAACATTCAACAATATGCAACATGGGATGATACATAACATCAACATATCAACTTAAGCTGTTAAGATACAATGAAGGTGGAAAGGTTAGTTTATTTTATGAGAAATAATAATGTATTTAATACAAGGTTGGACTAGAATCTAGATTTAGAATGCTTTGAGCCAGCTTAAAGTAACATTTTCAGTTTATCTCATGAAAGAGAGTTTAAAATAATAACCAACATCTTTATACTATTCAACACCAACATTTTTCTGGAGACTATTTTGCATTCCATGCAGTCAACCATGCAGGTTTAAATTTGTGTTGAACACAGACAAAACACTGCTATGTTCATGAAGTGAATAATGTAGATCTGTTTTTAACAATAAACACTATCTACATAGAAATAACCAATACTCCCTATGTTATTGATTAACTATTACCGGGTAACACAAATATGAAAATAATTGTCAGTGAGTTAAAGCTGTTTAATACCAATAATTGATGCCATTTAATCTTCACCTTGTAAAATTAAGGTCCTGGGGAGTGTATAACCTTTGAGTACTGATAGAGGTAGATATTCCATCCCCATCTTAGGTGAAGCCAGTTTTAAAATGAACATAGTTGAGTTGAGCTACCGACAGAGTGTGCTGATTGCATTCAATCATTTCTGTAAAAACGCCAACTTTCAACCGAGCCAAACAATCAAGTACTGTAAACTATAGCTTCTGTCACGTTATCACATCAAAATCGAAGAAAATATTATTTTGTAGGTAACTCTAGAATTTACGAGCGGCTCGTTCAACTACGTTCTATTTGAGTAAAATATTGGCCACGTCTGACCTTTATGCAAGGCCATTAAGCTCTCCTCACAACCAAGCAAGTTAGAGACCAATCGCATGTTCACTGCATCCACTAGAGCCTGCAATTCTAGCCGTTCCTACGCCAATGGGATGATTAGTCTTGTCATACTATTCTTCAATTGTGAAAGAAAATTGACCTATGCAGAAAACTGGTTTGATAGAGAAAATGCAGATTTTCATAAGTTTTCATTATGGCAAAGTTTGAAATTTAGGAATCTTTGCTTGCAGATCACCTTGTTTCAGACTTCCAAGGCAAACACTAGTCCTTGAAAGTCTTATATAGATGAATCCTACCAGTTCAAATACTGTATCTCCTTCTATAAGTCACACCATGATTTGCATGCAAAGTTTCCCTAACTTTGGACAAATGAGACTGACAAACAACAGCATTCAAAAAACGTACAAAATTGAAGACCATCTCCAAACTCTCTCTACTCCTTGCGCATCTTTTCTATGTCTATACACTTTACTCCATTCATGTCCGTCTACTGGCAATGGCAATAGCGATTGAGGACTGAGACTACAGAAACCAAATCAGAACGCTACTGTATTTATATTTGGAGAGATCGTAAATTTTCTTTCACAACATTTTCCAATATTATGATCAGACTAATCGTCTCTAGGAGTAGGAACTAGCTGGAATAGTAGTAAATGAAGTAAGTAACACAATGCTGGCCTTATATGAACTAGCTTAATGGCTGCAACAAAAGCTTTGTTTGAAAAAATTGAAAAAATTTGAAAAAATTGACATAGTATTGATTATGTAATGTTTAATGGCCAAATAAACAATTTGAATTTGAATTTGGATGTTGACCTTAATTTACAGACAACCCTCTTTGATAGGAAGCCTTCTTCGTTCAATATCTAAATCAATAGAATAACCAAAGTACATTTTACACATATGATTGGTGTTGATGGTGTTTAGTTGGACGAGTGCTTGTGCCCGTCGGAACTGACCATTTCACTAGAGCCGGAGGAGGTGAGCGTAGTGTTGCTGCCGTAATGCTCGCCCCCGCTGCTCTGCACGCTCATGCTGCGTCCTTGCGCGCTACGCCGCACTCGGTTGGGAGACAGCTTGTTGGGGTCTACACTGGTTGGGTCTGCCTGTACATGTGTTGATTCAATGTTCACAACTGTCAGGCAATTGTTATATAAAGTCTAGTAGGGAAAAGTCGTGAGTATTAAATATTTAATCCTGTGATTTCACGTTCACCGTGGAGTACAGGCCTTACTGGAGATAGTGATGCTATTACAGTAACAAATAGGTTTACTTACAGGGTGTTTTCAAATGAAAGTACAACTCAAATTACAAGTTTCGAGAGTCACTTTTCAGTGACAAAATAAATCTTGTAAGTTGGTAGCCCTGCTTCCATTACTTAAATAACAACCAGCTGCTATACTGTTGTTGCTTTATTATCTGCTTTTGGTTTACTGTAATGTAATTGAAATTTTATTGTAAATAATAAGTAAGACTCATATCATTGGGGTTTTGCAACCATTGACAATATATCAACTGTTTGGGGACCTTTGGGAAGGTGCTATAGGAAATTTAACTTATTTCCATCACTTTATAACTTTTTAGATTGTTTGTGTCTCTAGCTAAAATTGGTATAGTAGGTAGAAAAAAGTTCTTAAAAGATAAACTTTTATAGTACCACTAGTGTTGCAGAAAAGTTTAAATGTATGGAAATTTTGTACTCCACAATGAACGCATGGATGTACAACCCTTTAAAAATCCACATCATGAACTTTAAAGACAGGTTAAAAAATAAAAGTGTTTAACATATTCTTTAAAATACAATATTTAGGAGGAATTAAGATAGGATTTAGGCCTACCTGAGGTAGCCGTGAAGTCGATATTTAAATGTCGGAATTAGAACTCGAGTGAGTCTCTTCGAGTGAGGCTTGGGCCTGTCAAAAAAACACTGAAGTTATGTTTTGGTACTCAAATAATATTTAAACATCACCAAGTCCAAACACTTTGCTATAAAATTGTTTGGTACAGTAATTTTATCAATTTGAGTTTTGTATTTTATTTTAATAGCTTATTTAATCTTTGCTGGAATTGTGAAAAAATTCAATGATTTGAGTAGTACTGAATATTTTGTTAGTAATTTGTGGTTGCAAAGTGTACAAACATATATTTTACGGATAAATAATTGTAATTACATGTGAGACACAATTAATAAGTGACTAGATAGTTTTAATATTTTGTAGTAAATGTATGTCAAGTTACAAATTGAAATTTAACTTGCTGGTTGTTTTAAAATGTAGCTTTAAAATCTGTTCCAGGCCCAAGCCCAATAATTTCACTCTCCAATTGATTTTACAGTTTAAATGATTTATCAAAACAAAACTGAAGGGAATAACATAATTTAGACACAATTGAACAAATTATAAATCAGCCATACAGAATATGTTTAACTTTTCACTATCAGATTTATGATTGAAAACCTGAAAATATTTTTACATTAATAAGCTAATACACTTTTTTATTTTAAAATAAATAAAAATTATACTTTAACCATATAGTAAATATTAAGTGTTTATGTGAGTTTTTTTACCTATAAATAGAAAATAACTGACAACTATTTCTCTATTCTAAGTTTTCCATCACTCAAGCATTAGAGTGCAATAGGCAAGCACACATTCAGAAACAATACATTTTAAATCAAGAGAATATACTCTAAAATCCATCCAAACAGAAAGTCTGGCCCTTATTTGATATAGGTAGTTTCAGTAGTTATTTCTCCTCCAACCCCTTGGTCATATATTGTTTTATTCCCAACTACATGACTTTGGTCTTATGGTGACAGAAGTGCATACTAGTTAAATCCTTTGCTTGAATTGACTGCATTGAATTACTAGTGGACCAATAGGGAGGCCAGTCTATTATAGAAGGGGACATCCAGTAAAAAGATTTTAATTGCATTGAGAACACTATTGTTTGTCTTACCTCTCTAATTCTTTTATAGTGTGAAAAATTTAAAATACTATATTCTGGAATATCCTTTAGTTCTTACATCCTCAGAATTATCTGGTGTTTAAATCATTTTCATACATCATAGGATTTTTTTAGAAGGGAATAGAGTTCAGCTAGCTTACCTGAGAAAATGTCCAAGGTAAAAAGGAAACACAATAAAAAGGTACAAAACACATCACTGATTTCAACTTACTCTGAAGAAGTCCAAATCAGGACGAAATATCAGCGTTATGTTTTGTGATTTGTTATTGTATTTCCAGTGGCTTCTGGTCTCTAAATTGCTCAGGTAAGCTAGCTCAATTCAATTCCCAGCACTTGGCTTTCCTTTATATTATACATAGTAATTAATACTTAATGAGTGTAACATCGTCAATACCTGGTAAGCTAGTGCGTTCATGATGATGCTGTAAGGAACGTAGCCCAACGGATGGATGTCTTTCATCAACACATTCGCTGGGATCTTGTGGAAGTGAATGTATTCAAGGAAGCTGCTGATGACTTGGTTCAGGCTCACTTGGGAGGAATTGCTGTTCTGGTTCATGCTGTCACAATACTTCTTGCTCCACATCAGTGCAGCCTAAAGTGATGAAGTAATGATATATCATACAATCTTAAAAACTGCTCATTGTAGAGTAGAGAAGCAACAGCTGTTTAACTGATTCCAAATTGAACAGTTGATTTAGTGAACTCACAACAATTAACAATTTAATAATGAACATTCACATGTGTTATTAAGTTTTATTAATGTAAAAAAAAAATATTTTACAATTAAAATTATTTTAACAAAAATTTACAATTATTCATGCCAGTTCTGATTAGTCAGAACTCAGTGGAACTTGGGGGAGTAATTCTTTTTAATAAATAAATATTTTGTTTGCTGTGGTAGTGAAATTTCAAGGAATGTATAGCGTTTTCGATGTGTCTGGTATATTAATTTGAAAAAAAAGACACATCTTCATGGGACATTCTGTATATCTGCAGGATTATGATAAGAATGAGTAGTTGAGTTTATACCATTACTTAGGACAGTAGGTCACATAAGAAGAGGAGAATTAGTGGTAAGACTGGTTTTTATAACACAGGTGAAAGGAGGTAGGGTCGAGGTTGCTCTTTGGCGATCTTAAGAAATATACACACTTTTTTTCTTACCTTAGATCAAATTGACACATTAAATATTACCGATTCACTGATTATTCTCATTACAGATAGAGGGGTCAATTTTATTCACTTTGACAGGAATACGTGAGAAATAGTTTGACAGACCAATAATCAAAAACACTGAACTGTTTGAAATAAATTAAATAAATAAAAATTAATATACCTTTACTGTCACGTAACAATAACTTGTTAATAGTGGAGTTTTCATGTAACCACAACCTATGCTGACAAGTATAAAATTTCTCAAAGATTGAGAATTACTTGAAGAATATGTGTATACTTTCTTTGTACTTTTGTCTGTTCACAAAATTTATACTCAACCCCTTTTGCTATAACTATATTTTACCAAGCGGATTAGCTTATTTTTTAACTTTATTTTTACAATGAGATGGAAAAACTAATAAGTTTCTGTTTGTGATGAGCTCGTAACCAGAATACTTACCACCTAATTTTAGTGAGTGACGTTGAAGCCTTAATTTTATAATTGTATTTTATATTTTAGTAGTTACACTTTTTACATTTGATTTGGGAAAGTCGGAGTAAAATAGTATACATTTGAACAAACCTGGAACTTGGTAAACTCGTCAGCTCGTAGCTCTTCTCTAGCCAGGATCAGCCTGACCACATGTTGCGGAAGTAATGTGAAGCTGCCCAGGTTCAATACTTCGTTTCCGTGTTCATCCACAAACTCCAGCACCTAGTCAGCAATTGATGGATATTACATATTTTTACGTCCCACCTTCACATCCCAGGACAAAGGCTCTAGCTCGGTTTTTCACATTACTTCAGGGCAGGCTTAGAGATTGAGGCATTAATTAATTTTCATTTAGATACATTCCACTAGACGGGAATTAAATTTAGCACTTATCACTCTACCACTAGACCAGCTTGCTCCTCATTGTTGGATTAGATTTTAAACACTCAGCAGCTGCATCATGTCATGTCTGAATTGTTTACAGTACTACCTATATGTAGAAAGAAAAGTTATACAGTAACCTTTTTTTCTCTGAAGCAGATGATGCATCAATATAACCATGGAATCCCTTATAATGATGGAGGATAGGGAATTATTGAGCTTATCAGGTCAACAGGAGCAACCGTTGATTATGGCTTAATTACTATATATGATGTATTTTTACCATAAATACCAGCTTTTAGTTAAGTTTGTAAAGTTTCACCACATTTTCTGGCATCTCCTTGACGTGGAACAGTGGAAGAATTATTTATTTTTAAGAATCATGTTGCACTGAGTTACACTATCACTTTCAAAATAATGAAAATAAAAATAAAATGATAACTGTAAGAATGTAAGAGTTAGTTGGTTTATGAAAATGCTTTGGTGATGACTAAAAAATTGAAACACTTCTGTTCAGTACCAATGGAGAAAAAGTTTCAACACCTGCTTTCCACCCTCCTACTATTGTGCTGCAGTTTCCTTATAATATCACTGTTTTTGATCTGTTACCTATTTAGGACAGGCAAACTCTATTAGCTTGGAAGTTAACCAGCTATAGCCTCTTTGAACGTTATCCTCAACCATTTTTTAATTGTAGTGAACAAAAGTAGTGAAAAAGTAGTGAAATAAAAGGCCACATTTTACACTTTAGACAACAGACTTATCCAATTTCACGAGTGGCATTTACCTTCTGTACAAGTGTCTTGGTACACTTGTACTGGATGTATCTCTCTGCAGAAGCCAACAGAGCGCAAACTGTATCTACGTTGATGCATGTCTGCACAAAACCGTTGCAAGCACGTCGCAACTCATCCAGTCCATAGTAGTCGGCCGCGTTCATCACACCTCGCAAACACAAAGCAAATAGTTGAAACAAACAAATAATGCACTATTATGGCAACTTTTTAATTTAACTATGATTTTCATTGCAATTGGAAAATAATTATACAAGCTGATAAACCTAAATTAAATATTGTCATTGATTTTAATGAGACTTCAAGTAAGATTTTGAATTTATGTGGTATTCCCAGTTTCAAGAACAAATGATTAGGTAATTATGTTGGTTTACGTTATGATTGCCAGGTTCTTGATGAACGAAGAAGTTCAAGCTCTATGTACATTTCGCCACAAGTGTGGTAAAGTGGTGGGTTTATAACATTAAAAACTCACCCCCATTCCCTGACCTACCAAACACACCTCAAGAAGCCAGTACAAGGACAATAGCCGGGCAGTAATATTTTTATGTAGCATCCCCGGTCCGCGCACACGCTCGCTAGGATTTCTACACTCGCGCAATGAATTAATCGTCCGCTGACTTACATGTAAATAAGTGTAAATAAAAATAAAAAATAGTGTTTTTAAGTGACTTGTGATGTGACAAGAAACTCAAATCAGCTCCTGAAGATGCCACACTTGTGGCAAAATGTACATAGAGCTTGAACTTCCTCATTCATCAAGAACTTGGCAATCATAAGGTAAACCAACATAATTAAGTTGTAATTGAGTTGTAAGATTGTTCATATAAACAAATGAAAAGACATTATATTATATTAGGGAATTTGCTTAAAAACACTTTAAGGTCTTGGTTGCAAAGATATTGCTCCACATATTGGCACAATTTTTTAACTATTTATTGTGTAATATTCGAATCCCAATGAAAACTACTTTTTCTTTCCGTGACTGTATCATATTCCAATTGTGTAGCAGACAGGTGCGGTGTCCATAGACCATCTGCAATCCTTCATCCCGCTCAAACATAGAGTATATTTTACAGATTAGATTATAAAGTAACTGCAAACAGATTAATTGAACCAAGTAAACTCGTTCACACGAAGTCATTGTCAGGACTTAGAAATGTTTCAATTCATCACCATATGATAAACTATACCCAAAATAGTCCACAAGCATGTCTATGTACAGCAGTCGCTGTAGAGTGCGGGACTGCTCTTGGAGTAGTCTTTGTTCGTCTCGCAGCCTGTGGTGGTATACAATCCCTGCTGAATTCAGCAGCAAGAAAACCCCCATACCTGACCCCTATATGTTGAGACTTGAGCTAAGTGCCAAAAAAGGCAGTTGTATTTGGCAACTGCATTCAGCAGCTAGGAGAGCCGGAATTTATTCTACATAAACCATGTTTAAGCTTAACTACCTAAGGATAATTACCCAGCAATGTTCTTGGCTGAAGTGTCACATTTCCAGTGTGAATGTACTCAATCAGCTGTCTGAATACGTCTGGTTCAAACTCTTCAATGATCAGAGTAGCATGCTGCATGCCTGTGGGCTGAGGAGGAACTGTTAGTTGTAATATTGGGACCGTTTCAACCAGAACTTACACATTTTGTACGAAATATATGTGACAGTGGATAAATGACTTCGGAATATATTAGAAATAAATGTTTGAGAATACAAAGTAGTATTCAACTTGGTACAAGCATGTACAAGTAACACTGAAGTGATGCAATTCCAGTATCTGAATTTCATATTTATATGATATGTCAGAATACATGGCAGCATGGGTGGTACCCATTTTTTCTGTTGTAATAATCCCACAATCAGTGAATAGCAAACCTCTTCAGACACACACACAGACATCATTTTGAAAACAACTTTTTTGGGTTCAGGGGGGCCCAAAACGGATATATCCACTCAAAACTCAAACGAGCTTACAAAAAGGTTGTGGAAACTTAAACCTTTTTTTGCAAGCTCCAGTGTAAACGTAACTTTATTAAATGGCTTTTATTTGTAATCTGTACATTATAATGTGAAATAAATGATTTGTTTTTTCATTTATTGAAACAATATAGAGGGAAGATGTTGTATGTACATTTATGTACATGACTATTTACACTGTTGATTCCTTTGCCTTAAATTCCTTTTACACACTATATTGATAGTACTTATGTCTTATGTACACTTGCAGTTAACATGCCGGATTAAAACTAAATAAGTCAACGTGTTTATTTTATATTTTGTGTCTGAAGTGCTAACAGGTAAGAATGATTAGTATTCAATGCATACAGACTATCAAAACTACCACTACAAGGGCATGTGAGTTCAACATTTAATATCACAGGCATATTCAAGGGCTTGATGTACAATCAGAGAGATTACTATTCTATTTCCAAACTCAAGTTAAAAAAATGCAGTCATCTAAAAAACATACACATATAAAAGTATTTAAAATATATTTGTGCAATAATTTTTATTTTAATCAAATCAAATATTAGATAAGAGGAAATTAAAATAATAAAGTCTAATAAAATTGTAGAGCAGATTTTGTATGTTTATTACTTTAATCGTACAAGTATGATTTTTGAAGCATTGAATAGGGCAAAGAATTAAATTCAATTTTTAAATCAGCTGATCGTCTGTTGTTATTTTGTAACATACAATTTTGTTTATTTACAGTATTTGCAGACATTTTCTTCAGAAAGTCTGAGATTTCCGTGCTGGTTTTCTTTTACCTGTACCACAAACTTCCAAGTCAATTTTCTTAAGTTTGTTTTTGCTGTGGTCGTCGTGGGTTTGTCTTAAACTTTTGTCAAAACTTTCGTTGCACCTGAATTTACTATACATGAACATTTTGCACATTCCAAAGCATATACAGGTGCAACGAAAAGTATGCTTCCAAGGGAATTTTCTTAAACTTTTTTTGCTGTGGTCGTTGTGATATCTTCTACAAATTTTGTCAAAACTTTTGTTGCACCTGAATTTACTATACATGAACCTTTAGCACATTCCAAAGCACAAAAAGATTTCAGGTCATATTTTTTGAATAATTACAAGTCTCTTATGGAAATAAACCAAAATTTATTTAGCAAATAAGAATTTAGTTGATCAGCTGATACAGAAATTAAATCTCAATAATTATTTCTCCATCTAATGCAATAGGTATAAATAATACTTTTCTGCTTAGTAGGAAAAGTAGGTAAAAAACATACAAAATATGCTCTTTCATTTTGACACACTCTGTATTTGCAATCCTTCCATCAGTGTTCATGCAAATAACACTACATACCGTTAAATGTAATGAAATGGGGATCGTTATGAGTTTGTGCAACCAAACACATGGAAAGATTGGTAAAAAGCAAAAAAAATGTTGTATAAATTCCCCCCCAAAAATTAAAAAAAACTGAGAAAAAACATCCCTAATGAATATATACATAATCTAAAATAAGCGAATTTGTTTCCAAGCTTTTGTCTTTATGGCTTTTATGAGCTCTATTGTAAAGCAAACGCTCAGACAATCCGACTCAAAAGCAATCAGTTTTTATTCAGGGGTACAAAATACACAGATTTTTACCTAAAATACAAAAGGATAATTTAAAATCTTTTAGAATACCTTGAGGGTTTGCTTTTGTGGAGTACTTATGTTCATACTCCATCAAAAATCACAACCCTAACAACTGTAAATTTTTTAGTAGCATGTACTTCTTCCATCTACAAAATCTATGATCCTCTCAAAATATTTGGCCCAAAGGAACACTAACACCTTAATATTAACACCTAAAAAAGACAATTATTCATTAAAGCAATTTATTGTTGAGCTAATTTATTAAAGCTCAACAATAACAATTTTACAAGTTTTAAATAATTTTACAACTGCTATTTAGTTTTTTTTCTTTTCTTCTAGAACCCATATTATCATATCTATTTGCATACTAACCTATTAGCTGTTGTACTAAAGATTAAATTTTCTCCCCAAAAAGACAGTAGGTATTCATACCACGAAATTCTATGATTATCAATATAAATAATCAAAATACATGTAAAAAAAGTTTTGGTTTTTCATTTCCACATACTACTGTATCTGGTAAACCTATAGTTGCGATGTAATAAGAACTTTTAGACACCTTGGAATGCAAAGAAGAAAAAACAAACAAATTTAGTCGTTAGCTAAAAATCATTCTGGAATTTCTACAATAGATAAATCACCAAACCAAAGTTTAAGAATGTTATTTAACCATGAACTAAAAATGGTGATAATGCTCACAAGCTCTACTCTGAACCTTTCTTTACCTCTTGTATGGGAGTCAACTGCTGTGCGTAATTTCGCTAGAAGAACACAAAACACATTCAAAAGTCTTTGAACCTGCACCAGTTTTAATTTTTGAAAAAATGTTTAAAAATTACTAAAGCCAACAAAGTTAACATATGCCTAAAATTTTTAGGCTATTAGCAGATGTAAAATCACTAAAATCCCTTTATTATTTAAATATTTGTAGATTTCTTTGTGATACTAAATAATTAAAATAATCTTTACAAGGCTTATTTCATGTAACACTGTTTTATCTAAGGACACAAAAAATAAATGTAATATTAAATTAAATATACACATATTCAACAGTCACAGACTAGTTCTATGTACAACTTCAACACATACTTTTCCATCCAACTAAATGGAAATTATTTGGTCATAGACAAAGGAATTTCCATAAAAAGAACATATTCGGTAATTTTTATCTTTCTGTTAAACATGAAACAAACTGGACCACAAACATTCAGGATAAAGATTTGATAATAAACAGTTTAGTAACTCTTGTTTTCACATTCATCTTTCAGGGGAAAACCAAACTACAACTACTACTTGATGTATAGATATTGCTTTATTAGATCACATTATGTACAAAACCAGACGATTCGTCCATTCTATGATGTGGCATCCTCAGTGTGAAAGCTGAGACTCGGACTCAGCAAAAGCTTTAAATTTGCCAATGAGAATGCCACATCTTATAATGAGCGAAACGTATGGTTTTGCACATAACGTAACTTATTTGACCCAGTTCTTACCAGAAGACCGAGAATTACAGTAGGGTCCACGAGAGTCTGCAGTTGAAGGAGGTGCCTATTTACCACGTGACTTCGATGAAGCCAATGAGGACCACGCATTGATGCCAAATCTAATACTGTAATACCAGCCGATTTGAAAATATTGCTTAGTATATTTTAATTAGTGTTGTCAACAGGCGATATGGCAACGTCGCACTAGCCTTGTCTTGTGATTGGCTGACGCCAACTGCAGACTCTCGTGGTCCCAACTGTAAGTGTTTTAGGACTGTTAATTTGCCACAAATTGTAATTAACCGATAAATCTTGACAGGGTAGGTTGTGCTCGTCAATTAAATCCAATCTTGATCTAGCCAACAGTAGGCTAAAGGTTTTATTGTAACCAATAAAATAAATAGAATGCCTACACATTCAACCATCCTGTTAAAGTTGGGTCAAGATTTTTAAAATCAAAATGGACGAAGCTGAGTTCAGGCACCGACTGTGTTGATGTTTTGGATTAATTACATTCTGGCCATAGGGGTATGACAAAAATGAAATTTGTTGAAGCTACTGCTATTGGAGAAATGTAGATCAAGAAATTGAAGCTATGGTGAAACATTGTCATGTCACACAAAAGTTGAAACATCTACTGAAGGAGACAACCCACCCATGGGGTCCAAACGGACCTTGGGAACACATACATGTTGATTTTGATGGACCTCTCTGGGGTCGGTGGTACTTAATTGTAGATGCAGGGTAGTAAGAGGGTACAAATTATACTTACAAAATCTACAACCACAAAAATGTAGGTTTTCGTCTGTAGTATTATTGTAGTATATTTTGTAAGTGTCTCTTTTATCTGTTTTGTTTTTGAACAAAATAGGCTACCTACATCTGGTCCATACAGATGGAACATCTACTACAGTATCCAGCATCAATGGCTTTACATTATGAAAGATGAACGTGAAACTCGAGCAATACATTCAAAAGCCATCAGGGATACTTTACACCATAATTCAATACCTTCCCTACATCTATACGGATACAAATAGCATGCAAACAAAAATGAAATAACAGTAATGGTTCTATCAACACTAGTATTTAGTTCTAGTTGTTTGAACTTTATTAGGCCTATAATGAATTTCAGATTACTATTATTATAGTTAGGATTATAATAATATTCTACCTGAGCGCCAGAGTTCTGCAGATTTAGTAAGGGCTCACTGCTTCGCTTCAAAAACTGTCGAAGTTTGTTCTCCTTTGGAGGAGCTTCTTTTTTCCTCTGAGGACTCGGTTGTTGATAGAGCATCTTGTGAAAAACCCTGTCAAAATTATTTTTATCGATATTTTTAAAATTAGTTTGTTATTAGCATTCTATGTGTTAGAGCTATTGTAGCAGTATGATAGATAAAATGTGTCTTCCAACCCTATTCAATATATTGAATGGTACTTTCTTATACTTAAACAAATTTAATATTTAGTCAAGTCTTGTTTGTTTTGATTCCTTATTGTATTGACAAAATGAGTTTTTAAAAGATCATTTTCACTGTAAAACTCTTGCTAGCGTTGATTTATTTTAAAAGTTGTGCCTATTTTAAATATATGTATGATTTTAATTTGTTATGGTGTACATTTTGTTGCTTTTGTGTTATTGCTGGAACTCAAAATAAATTCGATTTTTCGGCAAAATGTTTTAAAATATTTTTTTATCTTAAAATTAATTTGGATATGTTTTACTGTAGGAAAATCTAATAATAGTGGAACTAAAGAAATGGATCAAAAGTAAGCCTACCAGATAGTTCCCTAAACTTTACTCTTTGACCTAAGCTTCTCTCTGAATAACGAAAATATATAGTGCGTAAGGGTACAGAAAAATCTTGAATGTATGTACACAAGCCAAGCAAATGCATGACAACATTTTATTGTCTACTTATAGCCTTAACCATTATCATCCATCTATTCAAAATTGACTTTTCACTTATGCTAGTTTTGTAGTAAACATAAAAGGTAAATTCATTAGGAACTGATATTTACTGTGTTTAGTGTTTGTCCAAAAAATAACATAGCAGTAGAGATTTATTTATCGAACTAAATATTCGAAACACATTTTGTTCATATTTTTCAAATCAGATTTTGAACCCAAAGCGGAGAACCCCAACTGAACCTGAAGAACAAAGTCGACTTTTGAAGCAGTGACTTTTTATATAGAAACAAGTACCTAAATAAATATAAAAAAACCTACAGTAGCTCATGGTATCCTAAGTTTTTATGACGATGAAATAACTGAAAACTGAAAGCAAAGTTTCTATTTATTTCTCTCAAAGGGTGGTTAAGTGTTAAACTTAATACTAATATTGTATATATTCTTGACCAGTCTACCACGTACTTATTGGCCAAATGCCTGCGTTTACGTGTTTTTATCCGTGTTAGTTTGAGTATTTTAGTGTGTACTTGTTTGACAAAACCCTGAAGTGTTCTAAATGAACGAAAATTGACACCTTGTGGACTGATGAAGACTTCCTTTGAGAGTCTAAACAGGTTGCCTAAACTGACTACAATAATCACTCCAGTAAACGGCATTCAAGCCCCTATTACATTTACTAAAGTAATTCAAAGGCTAACAACATGTAATTCTAAGGTAATCTAGCTGCTACCCTTTCGATCTACAGATAAAAATCCTGGCCTAGAGCCTTTTCATGAACAATACTTATTTTACAAATTTAATATGTGTAATATAATCCTAATAACTTAAAAATTCGAATGGCCTGAAAAATTTGTTAAGACAGTTTAAGAAACCACTGTGAAGCACACAGAGAGAACAGCAGATGCAACATTTAACACATTGTTTACTAACTTTGTTTAGTTGAAGTTAGTTCAAGCACATTTATTTCTACACATACCAGCATTGGAAAATTATCTGAATGTAAAAAAGTATGTAAAAGTACAAAAGTTTCATCCTCTAGACTTCCCCTGTTTAGATATCACAATCAACAATAGTCATTACTAAAAATATTTAGATATACTGTTAGTTTTACAACAGTTAACAATGTAAAAGGTTGATTTATAAACAAATTGTTAGGTCTTTTAGGGTTATAATATGCGTAGGTATGTGTAAAAATGCATTCCACATCAAACGTAATCGGAATATAAATGTACTAACCTTGGTGAAGGTGTGGAATCTTTTGTAAATATAAAATTTAAGATGTTTTCACGATGCTAAAAATGTTAACGTTAAAAACCTAAAAGCTCAGGTTCAGGGAGGGTTCTCTAAATTAAACTACATAATTTACAAACACTTTCATACGTAGAATAACACTAGATTTGTTATAATTTATACATCAGGTTTCTAAAACTTCCGTTTTCAACAAACAAGTTTTGCGAAATAAATAATTAAAAAAGTATTCTCTTTTAGTGTGATGCAAATGAAAAATCTTCCAAAAATACGTAGTAAAAATCGTTTCTGCTTTACCACAAAAAGAATAGTTATTGTGTAGCTTATTATGCTTTGTAATTTTTTCACTAAACGTACTTGATTGGGCAAAGTGTGGATATTATTTAAAATGGTATTATTTTAATTACTACAACACCAAAACTGCTCAATAATAAAAAAAGAAATAAAAAAACGCTTGTTTTATGAACACAGTCTTAGACCCCTTTATCTTAAAGGTCCTTTGAACTAAGTAAACACATCACTTGCGGAAGCATTTGTGACAAAACTTAGTAAATTTTTTTATATAAGTAGTAAACAAGAAATACCAAAAAAGAGAGTGTACAGAGAGCTATTTTGGTGTTTGAGTGTGTTTTCAAACGCAGCATAATATATAATAAAGGCAGTTACAATAATAAGCAATGCAAATTGTGTAGGCATTTTTAAAAAGACACATGTTAATTGGACAATCTTGGTCTCATGGTCTTTTTACTGTAACCTTAGAAAAAACACAGTTAGGTCTATGCTGTCACAAAAGCAATGGGCAAATATATAATTTTCCCTGTATTTTAGTGAATTGCTAAAAAACTATTTAGAACATATTCATAATGACAACAAACAAAACGAATGGTGTAATAACAAATAATCAATATAAATATGATTTATCTGCACGAATATCCATAAATAAAATAGGCAAGCAAAAAGTTATTTTTTATGAAGAATCTAAACACGTTTCTGCTACTAAACCTTTTTTATATGACTTGGCAGTGTTCGTGTTCGACAAGTAATTTTGTCAGAATTTTGAATTTTGATCACCTAAACAGTAAGATTCAGAAGAGTTGTCTACTCTATAATTCTTTTTAACTACAATAAAAACCTGTATTGGTATTAATAAAAAAAATCTTTTCCTCCAATATTGCGGGTTTCCCTCCAATATTGCCAGTTTCTCTCCAATAGTGCAAGATTCCCTCCAACATTGCACGTTTTCCTCTAATATTGCAAGGCTCCCTCCAATATTTCAAGTTTCTCCCCAATATTGCCAGTTCCCCTCCAATATTTCAAGTTTCCCTCCAATATTGCAAGTCTCCCTCCAATATTGCAAGTTTCCCTCCAATATTGCAAGTTTCCCTCCAAAATCGCAAGGTCCCCTTCAATATTACAAGTTTCCCTCCCATACTGCACATTTCCCCCCAATATTGCAAGTTTCCCTCCAATATTGCATGTTTCCCTCCAATACTACAAGTTTCCCTCCAAAATTGCATGGTCCCCTTCAATGCTACAAGTTTCCCTCCAATATTGCATGTTTCCCTCCAATACTACAAGTTTCCCTCCAGTTTACCGGCTGCGGGCGGCCAGCACTGCCTTGACAGCACACACTGGCTCTCTGGTCTCCCCCACGAGGAAGGTGACGTCACACAGCTCAGGCATCGACGCCAGGAACTTCATGTCTTCAGCAAGACCTGTCTTGTTCTCAAAGATGCTGAGATCAGGCTCGTCCATCATGAGAGGGTCTCTAGCCTCGGCGCCTTCGCAGCGCTCTCCACTACCACTCTGCACCTCGGGCATGTCGTCTGCAACAGGGACATCTCAGGTTTATCACAGTGGTGGCCTCAGGTTTTAATTTTGGGGGAGTGCCCCCTTCTAAACTGTTAAAATGCAAAGCCTAAAACCCCCAATATATAGGATAAGGAGGTTCACTCTGATACTTTAGGGGAAATCCATCCCCCAACCCTCATTAGGTACGCCACTGAGTTTTGAAGTACCGTAACATTATAAGTATATTTTTTAATACAACATGAAATTAATTAACTTATGTCTTGATAGTAGGCTTCCACGGTCAACAGTCGAACGTGGACTGCAGCACTGAAACGTAGACCACTATCTTCACCAATGACACGCCATCGACCAAGACCAAGTTTAGACAATTGAATGTCTTTGTGGATAGGATCTCATGTACTATTCTAAACTTGTTCGATTCTGGCCTTACATACCATCCCATGGGCTATTAATAAAAATGTTGTTATCCAACAAAATGTTAAGCTATTGGTAAGATTGCAACAAGACCAAAGTTTACAAAAACAAAGTTTAGACAGTTTCTAAAAAAAAAAAACGTAAAGTAGTGATGACGTGGATAAACTAAAACAAAACATGTACAGCTAATTTATAGGCATCGTTCTGGGTAATCATGGCCTAGGTCTTACCATGAGACCTACGGTAATAGCTACTTCCCTATAGGGAAATTCGCTAAAATCAAATAGGAGAAAGAAAATCCTTGAGAACCCCAGCTGTAGATTGTGCTTCAACCTTAGAGACCACCACAATCTTAAATTATATACCTTCTGGAAAATCTTGGCATAGCCTAGAAGCAAGATCGCATATTTAATTCTGTTTTTTATCAACTTACATTCCTGTTTTTTTTAAACCTCGTTTTTACTATGTGTGTGTTTCATGTAACATCTATTTTCATGTGTTTTTTTAACAACGCCAACAACTACTGTCTTTTACTACGGCTGAACTTCAATGTCCGATTGCTCAGTGCTGCTGAAACGACCGCAACATTTGTTACACCTTTTTGGAGCTGATTGACAAAGGTTAATTGTTGATTAAGTAATGAAATCGACTTAAAGCTTATATTTTTTTTACAAAATAAATTATAGTTGTTGATGATTACTTATGTTTACACAGTTCTTAATGCATTGACGCTTGGACTATGCATTTTGAAATACAGTTTAGACAAAATATTGATGATATAATCTTGAATTATATTTTGTAAAATATACGGAAATATATTGCAATTGTCATCCTTTGACACTGCCATTATATAAAATATATTTTTACAGATTCTAAAATACAAATAGATTTAGATTTATTTTACAGATATATCATATACAACACATAATTCATGAAACAACCGTTCATCTTTAGCAACAAAACGTGACAATTACTTCGTGAGTTTCAGCCAGGCTAACAGGAAAAGTTGCCTACTGAGACATAATATAACATAATATCCAAATATTAATCATCAACATTATCACAGATTTTGTCATACTTACCTACTCAGACACCACCTGTAGATGAAGTCCTATAATGAAGGTACCAGCTGCTGGGGTCCACCGTTTTGTGAATGTCAAATAAAAGGACAACAGAACAAACTAATCCCTATATGCTATAAAACTATGAAACATATAAAATAACTATAACAGTAATTTTCACATTGTTTCTACAGTTGAATTCACTCGAGTTAGCTGGAAGATCCGCTAGGATCGTTGTTTGTAGGGAAAGTTCACTACCGACCCAACCCTTCCACCCACAGAAATTTATCCCCTAGGGTGCAACTAAATCCCTGATTATCCCTATTTTCGTGTAGTATCCCATTTTATCCCGAAATGTCGTTAACGTGTACCGTTGAACATTAATAATTAATAAAGACGCTCACTTACGTTGAGTTACACATTTGGTTATTAGTTCTCAGACATTTAATTGATCTGATTTTTCATTTGATCGTTGGAAGCTGGTAAATTGTTTTTGTATAGAAATGCATTAAAGTAGTAATAAAAGACAGATTCTGGCACAAGGGTCCCAAAACAATGCTAAGTACGAAATAGATAGTTAGGTAAGTGAGTAAACATAGTTTGACACGCGTAAGCAATATTTTTATTCCTATATATTTCAACAGAGCATTAGAGCAACAACTAAAGCAGCGCTTGCAGTGCTACTGACAGCGCAATCTAACCGTGCGGGTTCTTGCACAAAGTCACTTGATTAGCTGTTGCAATCGAACACATCTATCAAGTGATTTGATTAATTGATTATTATCAATCGATAATAATTCATATTTCGCTACGCTACAGCTTGCTTTGTTTCATCACTATCAAAAATGCACCTTTATGATGGAGTTTTTGTAAATATTCATCTTTATTTTTTGTATTTTCCTCCAACATATGTAGTTGTCCATTTTATCAGTTTATTGCTCAGTTGTAAATTTATGTAAAATCGATGTTTAAAAAAATACATTGTGACTCATTAATTGTAAACTAGTGTACCTGTTGCTCGAATTCATGAGATAATAGAAGAAGAATAACACGAGAGCTTTAAAAGCCACTGGGGTAGAGCCCAAGGGAATTTTTCTAAAATTTAAGTCCAATTTGAAAATCTACACACCTAGATGAACATTTTGATATACAATATGTGGGGTGAAATCTTAAATCAATAAAGGCTTATTGTTCACAAAGTGTCGTGTAGAGAATTTATGACAACAGCTGGAGTTTTATAACAATGTTTGTTTCCCATGTCTAAAAATCTTATGGAGAAATACAAAACATTAAAGGGCCCCAGGGCCTCACTTTCTAATTATTTCCCTAAAAAGAAAGTTTCCTGCACATAGTTACTCTTTCCAATGACACCAAAAACATGTCAATCAGTTCAGTAGTTTCGGAGGAGTAATTGTCACAAAAATCTGATTGCGTATTAAACAAGTATAGATAAATAGATTATTTATTTAACTTATTAAAAATTTTCATAGTAAAAAATTTCCGTAGAAAATAAATTGAATATTTTTAACAAAATTGTGTATTAGTATCCCTAGGAATTAAAACCCAATCACATCTAAACCTACCATATTACTGAAATTCGTTCACTGAAATTTTCCCTACTAAAAATTCAAAAGCATATTATCATATTTCATATCAGACGCTGAAAATACATCCGAAGGACGCTGAAAGTCCCGAAAGTGCAAACTATGTTTAGCCTACAGATGCACCTTTTAAGATGAATCCTTCATATCCCCATTACAATTTGATCCCATATGAAATGGAAAAATCCCTTTTCAGGGATAATATCCCTGACATTGCTTCAGAGGTGTGTTGTCGGGATCAATACATCGGGAGGACCAGTCCATTCAACAACCCCACAGATCAATACTGCACCTGTTGATATGGGGTGAAAATTATGAATGATAATAATCACAATGCTAAAACAGATAGTGATTTTGGATTTGTAAATGTAATGATATTATTCTTGTAATTTTTGTAATTATTGTTTCCAACATTGTAAAAATAATAAAACCATAAACACTTTTTTTGCCATATTTTTACGATGTTAAATCACGTGATCACGAACTAAATCACAAGAGACTAAAATTTAAATACACCCTTTACCATATTTGTTAATAAAAATTATTTGTTGAGTTCCTAATATCAGAATAATATTTGGAATATTTTTTGGATTTTTTATATTTTAACTAATACTAGTTAAAACATTATTTTGTGTTTCTGAGTTAAAAATAAAAATTAAGCGAATATTTGTATAGTGTGGCTATATAAAAAAAAATAAACCCACCGCAGCAAACCTGCTGACTAAGCCAATTTCCATTTGCCTGATCGGATTCCCACTGTAATATTACCTTGAAAATGAAATTTATTTCCCATTTAAATTACATTAGGCTTAGTGGGTACGTAGGTCTGCTGCAACAACTATTGTTATTAAGTGCGTTTTTTTTATTCAAATGCTAATAGCTTGATATTAAATAAATACAAATTTACCAAATTTGATCAAAATGATGTATCTATAAAACATAAATAATAATAATATACATAAACAAGTAAACTACAACAGCTAACTTATTCTCCATAAGAATAGGAACTTTACATTTAAAGAGTTTTAGAATTTTTTCCCGCAATCATTAAACTCATTTCCGTAGTCATAAAACTACGCTTAAATTTGTACTAATTCATCTTTTCTAGGGCTAAGATGGTTTGAAAACTGGAAAATGTAGAAAGTGCATTTTTTTTTTTTTTTACGGTCAAAGATTGTGAAAACAATAAATTTTATCCCCACACAACCCTGTTCCCACAGTCTAGCATGATCGGTTCACGAACTAGCCTAGTTGTAATAAACGTAGGTTTACACGTTTTTACCGAATTCAATCAAAATTGGAAACAATACGAAAACAATACTTTCCTCGTATACTACGTGCAGTGAAAAGTAAAATAAATGGTTTTATTCAATATTTGGACTTTACTTTAAGTATGAATGTAACTTTACAAGTTAAAAATGTAAATTACATAAACATAAAAATATGGAAGGCCATTGATCGTCAATATGGCCCATATGTCCTTTTATTTCAGAAAACTTTAAATCCACTCACAAATATTATACCTGATGTAAAATGACTTTTATGATGACCAGTGTAGGATTATTGTTATCAGCTGAGTTATAAAGTTATGAATCATCTGCTATTTGGTTTGTTTACATGATTATTGTTTTTGTAAATAAATAGTGTTGATTAAGTTTACTTAAAATGAGTTTTATAAATTAATTATTCTATATTGGCGACGGGAAAATGCCTAGGAAAACAGACCAGTCTCAGTATAAGAGTGTAATTGACTGTAGTAACATGTCATGCATACAAGATAGAATGAGCAGATTTTCATTTAAAGAGTATAATAGTGAACAATTGTGGGAAGACTACATAGCTCGTTTTGAGTTGACCTGCAGAGTTAAGGGACTGGGTGGTGCTGACTCAGAAGAACAAGCGGCTCGGCGAGATCTTCTATTGGCAAATATCGGAGAGGAGCACCTCAGGGCACTGTCGGAGCAGATGTATCCAAGGGCCTGGGAGGAGTGCACTTACGACGAAGTCAAAGAGGAAGCCAACCGGTTGTTCAAGCCTACAAGGACCCTTTTTGCAACAAGGTTTGAGTTTGAAAGAGCTATAAGAAAAGATGGTGAGACATTTATTTTGTTTTATAACAGACTGAAGTCTTTAGCTAGAAGTTGTAAATATGGAGATAGCTTAGATGAACGAGTACGAGATAGATTTGCAGTAGGAAGTAACTGTCCAGAATTTGAAGTCGAAGTCAGACAAAGATGGCCCGAGGGAGTTAATAACCGAGGTGAGCATGTTAAGTCAACAGTAGTAGGTACTAGAGTTAGCTCAATCCATTGAACGCGCGAGAGAAGAAGTTTCCAAACATGCGTGTAAAAATGAGATTTTCAAAGTAAGTGACAGTAAGGAAAAGAGGAAACCAGAGGTACAGAAATCTACTGGCTTCAATAGGTGTTATAGATGCGGGTTTACACATGACCCTAGTGAAGATAGATGTCCTGCTTTTTCTGCTGTGTGCAAGAAATGTTCAAAGAGAGGCCACTTCTCAAGAATGTGCAAAAGTAAAAATAATTTTATGAAAAGAACAGACGGTAATTTGAGAAAAGTAGATGATTCTTGTGATCAAACTTATGATGATGAGTGTAGTTCTGATATTGATGTTAGTGGAACACAAATTAGGTCAGTCAAGAGTAAGGTTCCCAGAGCTACAATAGATGTAGAATTGAACGGGCATAATGTTAGAATGGAGTTTGATTCCGGGGCTCGGGTAAGTGCTATAAGTTTATCTCTTTGGGATAAGATAAATTCAGGTGGCGAATCTCTCAAAAAGACGTCTGATGTCATCACTGGCTATGGGAAAAATAAGCTAGAAGTCATGGGTAAGGCTTTTGTGGACGTTACTTTACGTAATCGTACTAAGCGATTGCCGGTTATTGTATTACTAGAAGATGATGTTCCATTATTTGGGTTGCCATGGAGTGTAGCTTTCAATCTTAATTTGCCTAGAGAAGTAATGGTTAGGCGTATTGACAATGGAAAGACAAATAGTAAAGAGGCAGGTAAGAACGAAGAAAGTTATAGAAAAGAGTTACAAAAAGAAGTTGAGGCATTAACTCAGGAGTTTTCCAAACTCTTTCGTGATGAGCTAGGAACGATATCTGACTCTAATGAAATCATTCATCTAAAAAGTGGAACAAAACCTGTATCTTACGGGACACGACGAGTTCCATTCCCCTTAAGGGAGGCAGTGGAGCGAGAATTACAGAGATTAGTACAGGAAGGAGTTTTGGAAGCAGTGGACCCTTCCGAAACATCGATAGAATGGAGTACCCCAACAGTCAACGTAGACAAGGGCGGAGGTAGAGTAAGAATCTGTGGCGATTTTCGTACAACCTTGAATCCAAACATCGTCCCGGAAAGACACCTCTTGCCAACCTTTGATGACTTGACTTCCAAATTAACGGATGGAAAGATATTTTCAGTCATAGATCTTCGAGACGCGTACTTGCAAATGAAAGTACACCCCGAGTCACAAAAGTATCTTACAATAGCAACTCATGTAGGTTACTTTCGCCACAAAAGGTTGCCTTTTGGACTTTCCTCGAGTCCGGCAAAATTTCAAAGGTACATGGAAAGTTTACTAAAAGGACTTAATGT